CTGACCATGGAGGAGCTGGCCTCTGGCAAGGTGGGCGAGATTGTTAGCATCCCCGTCAGCTTCATTTGCGCCGGGAACCGCCGCAAGGAGCAGAACATGACGAAGAAGACAATCGGCTTCAGCTGGGGCTCCGGGGCGATAGCCAACAGCATCTGGACCGGCGTGCGCCTCTGCGACCTTCTGGCGTACGTCGGGATCCGCAAGGCCTCCGCAAAGCACCGCTTCGTGCACTTCGAGGGGCCGCTCGGGGAGCTCCCGCAAGGGAAGACGGGCTCCTACGGCACCTCCATCGACATGGGCTGGGCCATGGACCGCGAGCGCGACGTCTTGCTGGCCTTCAAGCAGAATGGCGAGCTGCTCACGCCAGACCACGGCGCCCCGCTGCGCACGCTGCTGCCAGGGTGCATCGGCGGGCGCATGATCAAGTGGCTCTGCAAGATGTGGGTGTCGGACCAGCCCTCGGAGAACCACTACCACTTCTTCGACAACCGGGTGCTGCCGCCGCACGTGGACGCGGAGCTGGCCACGGCCGAGGGATGGTGGTACAAGAACGAGTACATCATCAACCACTTCAACATCAACTCCGCCATGTTCGAGCCCAGGCACAACGCCGTGTTCCACCCGAGCGAGGACCCGACCCTGAGGGTGTCGGGCTACGCGTACGCCGGCGGCGGGTTGAAGGTGATCCGCGCGGAGATCTCGCTGGACCAGGGCAAGAGCTGGGAGATTACCGACCTCACTCGCCCCGAGGACGAGATCGCCGCGTCCCGCGGCACGGACAAGCACTGGTGCTGGGGGCTCTGGGAGACCGAGGTGGATTCCGGGCGCCTGCGCGACTGCCACGAGATCGCCTGCCGCGCTGTGGACTGCAACCAGAACATGCAGCCGGCGAACCTGACCTGGAACGTCATGGGCATGTGCAACAACTGCCTGTTCCGCATCCGGGTGCACCACCGTGACGATGGAAGCGTGTGGTTCGAGCACCCGACGCAGCCTGGCGCGGAGACCGGCGGCTGGATGACGGAGGACGCAGGCAGGTTCGACCCCGCCAAGGAGAGCAGGGCTGCCCGCGGCGCGCGCGGCGTGCCGCCGAAGCGGCCTGTTGCCGCCGTCTTCACCGCCCCGCAGGCCCGCGAGGTTAAGGTGGCGAAGAAGGAGGACGTGCCCGGCAGGCTCGTGAAAGACAGGCGGGCGGCGTAAAGCGTGGGTTCGGCAGCGTGGACATTCACGCGTAAGCTGCCCGCGTGAGGTCGCGCGCAGGCGCCCTCTTCTCCACGCGGCTTACCGCGCTGGCGGCCCGCGTAAGCAAACGGCGCGTAAGGTTGTAAAAATCACTAGGCATCTCGCTCCTTGGCCCCCGACCAGCCCCGCGCCAAGTGGGTAGCACATATACGGGCCTGGGTGCGTGGCCCTCGGTTGGGCCAAATCGGCGAGGATCGAAAGTCTGCAGAGTCGTGGCGTCTGGGTGTATGCATCGAAGACAACAGGGGGTCGAGATCTCTGCACGCGGCCTTTAGCCGTCGCCCCACTGTTCGGGCGCCTCGGCCAGCTCACGGTGATATGGGGCCAAGAGCTCACCCACTGGCCTAAAACTGCCAACAAGATATCGTCACCCCTTTGCCTAACACTGTCATCAAACTATCCTCATCCCCTGGCCTAGGGCTTAAGACTGCCAGCATCATACCCTTCCTCTCAGCCTAAAAGTGCCAGCAGCGTATCATCGCCCCGTGGCGTAAAATTGCCAGCGGAACATCGGCCCCCTGGCTCAAAACTGCCAGCGACATATCGTCACCCCCTTGCGTAAAACACTGCCAGCAAAATATCCTTACCCCCTGGCGTAAGACGAAAACTGCCAGCGACATATCTTCACCCCTGGCGTAAAGTTTAAACTGCCAGCGAAATATCCTCACCACCTGGCTAAAGACTGCCGGCGAAATATCACCCCCGGCGTAAAACTGCCAGCGTAATACTCAAGTGGCTTACGCCATTCCGCCGACCCCCAGGATGAGCGAGAGCTTGCGAAAATCGTGGAAGGTATCTAGTGGGTCAGGAGCTTCTGGGATGCATATGAGGGGCTCTTGGGATGCCTCTCAGGGGCCTCTTGGAGGGCTCTTAGGGGCATCTCGGGGGCTTTGGGTGGCTTCTTGGGGGCCTCTTCGGGGCTTCCTGGAAGCCTCTTGGGGGCGCCTCGGGGGCCTCTTGGGAGCTCTGGTGGCCATCTTGGGGGGAAAGGCTCGAAATGTCAGTTCGTATTCCCTCTGTTAGGCCCCGCTTAGGGCCCTCTTGGGGCTCTCTTGGGCCGTCTTGGGAGCCCCTGGGGCCCTGTTGTGGCCCTCTTGGACCGTCTTGGGGTCCTCTTGGGGTCCTCTTGGGGGCCTCATTGGCCGTCTTGGGACGATCTTGGGAGCCCCCTGGGCCGTCTTTGACGCTGTAAAGGCGAAAAAGGCGAGCATGCTAAAAATGTATATTTTCTCGAAAGGAATGGGACGATTTTCGCCTCTTGGGGCTCGGTGGTCCTCTGGGAGCACTCTTGGGCCGTACTGGGGGCCTCGTGGGCCGTCTCGAAGCCATCTTGGACCGTCGTGGGGCCGCCCTGGGACTTGTCGACGCTCTCTTGGACGGGCCCTCTTGGGCAGTCTTGGGGCTCTTTCGAGGCTCCGGAGGCCCGATTGTGCGTTTAGGAGCTCGTCGGACCCCAGGGGAAGGGGAAAGGGGGAGGGGGACAGTCAAATATCTCACACGCCTTTTTTCACCCCCGGCAAGCGGGGGTCGGCGGATTCTCCCCCCCTCCCCTCTAGCGAAATATCGTTCCCCCCTGGCTCAAAACTGCCAGCGACATATCGTGACCCCCCCTGCGTAGGCCTTTCGGGGCCGAGGGCTCGAAATGTCCGTTCGGGTCCCCCGTCTGTCCCCCTCTTGGAGCCGTCTTGGGGGCTCTCTTGGGCTGTCTTGGAGGCCTCTTGGGCCGTCTTGATCCCCTCTTGGGCCGTTTTGGGGCCCTCTTGGGGCTATCTTGGGGACATCTTGGGTCGTCTTTGAGCGTCGGAAAGCCGAAAAGGCGGGAACGCCAAAATCTTTCAAACACTTTAGGAACCTCGATGGATTTTGCCTCTTGGGGCCATCTTGGGAGTGTTCTTGGGGGCCTCTTGGGGCGTCTTGGAGGCCTCTTAGGCCGTCTTGAGGCCATCTTGGGCGTCTTGGAGCGATCTTTGGGCGTCTCGGGGCCCTCTTGGACCGTCTTGGGGGCCTCTTGGGGCCCTCTTGGCCCGTCTTGGGGCGCTCTTGGGCCCGAAAAAGTTACGCGGGGAGATTCGGGTGAGCCCAGGGGACACGTGGGGAGCCCCACGAGATTTACGATTTTTGGGCCCGGGCCTTTAAGAATCCTTAATCCTGAGGGCTGAGGACTACAACAAGGGACCTGAGGACACGCCCACTCCGTGCAGGGGCGCGGTGGTGGAAAGCACACAAAAGGAAAGCATTGAACAAAACACATCAGGTTGCCACGTCCTTGGGCGTCGTACCCCTTTTTTGGTCGTCGCTCAGGTGGGCGAGCATCGACGCGTGGATGAAGGATGGCGTGCCCCAGTCCGAGGTGGAGAAGCACAACAACGACAAGTGCGCTCTGATCGTGGTCAAGGACCGCGTCTACGACTGCACCCCGTACCTCGAGGACCTTCAAAAAAAGCGAGACCAGCGGCGCAGCACCCCACGCTTGCGGATAATGGTGAGGGGGGTGGTGGCGGGTGTGAGTTCGGCGTGCTGCCCCCATGCGCTGCCCTCGTGTATTACCCCACAAAGTATCGCACCCATGTGCTGCTCCCCATGTACTGCCCCGATGCCCCCAGATGCCGCCTCCATGTGAAGCCCACGTGTAGATTGCCCCCACGTATCGCCCCCAGGCACTGCCCCCATGTATTGCCCCCGTGTACCGCCGCCAAGTATCGCCCCCATCTGTAGCCCCCATGCCTGGCCCCCAGAGGCCGACCCCTCCATCCAGCCGCGCGCGCATGGAGATAGTGAGGCCGTTTCTGGCCCCCTCACTCTGAGAAACAGTGCTTGCACTAAGGGGTTCTTATGTTCGTTGCGAAGTAATTGGGAAGGCCTGCCAGGTTCGTCAAGTGGGCGCTGGTGGGCGCCTCATGGGCGCCTTGTGCGCTGGCTGGGTCTGCCGCGCGCTCGTGCGGAAATCATACGAACACCGTATTGTTCTTAATCACTTTGCCAACTCCAACGATTTCATGTCACCCGCGGTGCACCCGCGATACTCCTGTCATGCGCCCAGGGCACGAATCCCTGGCAAAAATTACCACGCGGGCCACATGCGCGCACCGCCATGCGCGCGCACGACTAGTCTGACTGACTTCTTGAATTCTTGACGCTTCGCGTATCCCCACCAGCCCATCCAGAAACGATCGCCAGGTGGGTCGATTACTTTCGGGATATAATGTTGAGAGGTTCTTGTAAGACTCTATGGGCATATTGGGGTCATCTTGGAGCTCTTTTGCGGTACTCTTAGGGTCGTCTTGGGGCTCTCTTGGGGGTGGGTCGGTGACTTTCGGGATATAATGTTGTGAGAGGTTCTTGTAAGACTCTTGGGGGCATCTTGGGGTCATCTTGGGGCTCTCTTGGGGTACTCTTAGGGCCTTCTTGGGGCTCTCTTGGGGCTCTTTTGGGGGGTCTTGGGGGCCTCTTGGGGCTCTTTGGGAGGGTCTGGGAGGCCTCTTGGGGCCATCTTGGAGCCCATCACTCAAAAAGAGGGGCGGCGCTTATTCCGCCCCCCCCCCCTCGGAAACTCAAAAATGCCGTCTTGGGGCTCTCTTGGGCCGCTCTTGGAGCGCTCTTGAGCGCTCTTGGGGCCGTCTTGGGGCCCTATTGGGCCTCTCTTGGGGCTCTCTTGGGCCATCTTGGGGCCATCTTGAGGCTTCAAGAGCCCATCGGAGGCGAAACAGCGAGCAGGCAGAAAACATTGATTTTCCTAAGGTTTTTGAAGGATTTTGGCCTCTTGGGGGGGTCCTTGGAGGGCTCGGAGGGCACTTGAAACCCTCTTGGGGCCGTCTTGAGGCCTCTTGGAGGCATATCGAAGGGTACCTTGAGCCATCTACCGCTATCTTGGGCCATCTTGGAGGCCATCTTGGGCTCTCTGAGGCCCTCTTGGAGCCATCTTGGGCCAAAAAGGACGCTCTGCCACCTCGGGCCCCCCCCCCCGTCCAGGCCCAGGGGAGGGGGTAGGGGGAGGGGTAAACCCCTCCCCCGAGCAGGGGAAGGAGGAGGGTTCGAGCAGTAAGAAAACATAATGCGCCAAACCACCTACGCCCAGAGGGCTGGTGGGACTTCTGCGCGCGCGGACTTCCTCATCGACCTTGTCACCATCATTGCGAACACTTTCTTCATCGACAGATGGACATCAGCATCGTCAACGTCGTTCTTTTTTCGGCGCCGTTATTGCCGTGCCGTCGCCCTCTTGAACATCGCCGTCGCTGGTGCCACGTTCGTCATCGCTGCAGACGTTGTCAATGTCATCTTGTCATCGCGCACGTGCGAATATCGCCGGCACGCTATTCCTCACCATCAACGCATGCAGACGATCATCGGAATTGAGGGTACCATCATCGATGCCGTCATCGGTCGCACCGCCGTCACTCGCATCATGAGTTTTCCAGAAGTTGCGGGTGGGAGGGTGGGATGTTTGCGCGACCAGTGGAGATGACGATTTCAAGTTTTTCAATGTGTATTTTCTTTTCTAAAAGAAAAAAAGACTCTACCTCCCCCCCCCGAACTTAACGGTTCCCCCTGGGGTATTGCGATGTCATATTTATTATGCACACGTGCCCATCCTAAACATGAATTCATACCATGCCAGGCCAACCGGTATCACTCCCCCCCCTCATCCCTATCAAATCATACCATCCGGGGACATTCTTTGGTCTAACGTAACACATTTTCACACCATCCCTGTCAAATAACACCATGCGGGGCACATCCGATCGGCCGCGCGCATCGTCGTCATCGTTCGCGCGCTGTCAAAATTTCAATAAAATCAATGGTTTTTCAACATTCCCGTCAAAGGGCTCTTGCGAGCAGCCTTTCGGGCATTTGTCGCCCGAGAGCCGGGGGCCACCATTCGTGTCAAATAACACAATGCGGGGCACATCCGCGCGGCCGCACGCATCGTCGTCATCGTTCGCGCGCTATCAAAATCATAATAAAACCGTTTGTTTTTCAACAATTATGTCAAAAGGCTTTTGCGAGCAGCTTTTCGGGCACCTGTCGCCCGAGAGCCAGGGGCCACCATCCCATACAAATAATACAATGCGGGACACATGCGCGCGGCCGCACGCGTCGTAGTCGTCGTTGTCGTCGTCGTCGTCTTCGTCTTCGTTGCCGTCGTCGTCGTCGTGGTCGTCGTCGTCCCGCTTGTCGGTGCCGTCGTCGTCGACGTCGTCGTCGTCGTCCGGCTTGTCGTTGTCGTCGTCGACGTCGTCGTCGTCGTCGTCGTCGTCGCCGCCGTCGTCGTCGTCGTCGTCGTCCCGCTTGTCGGTGCCGACGTCGTCGTCGTCCGGCTTGTCGATGTCGGCGTCGACGTTGTCGTCGTCGTCGCCGCCGCCGTCGTCGTCGTCGTCGTCGTCGTCGTCGGCGGCGGCGTCGTCGTCGTCGTCGAAGTCGTCGTCGCCGCCGCCGCCGTCGTCGTCGTCGTCGCTGTTGTCGGCGACGTCGGCGTCGTCGTCGCTGTCGGCGTTGTCGTCGTCGCCGCCGCCGCCGCCGTCGTTGTCGTCGTCGTCGGCGATGGGTATTCGTTAGCAGGCTTCGTTGGGTACTCGCAGTCACGGTCATATGAGTTTTGCCGACCAAGTTGCGGGTGGGTGGGTGGGGTGTTTGTTCGAGCAGTGGGGTTGACGTTTTCAAGTTCGGCATGGTGTATTGCACCACGTAGGTTGCGCCATACCCCATACCAATTGAACCACATAATAAACACCCCAGACATTGCGCCACACATGTTGCACCACACATATTGCACCACATATATGCCATTTCACACATAACACCACATATGTAGCGCCTGTTTATCACATCGTATAGAGGAACCCACACATATTGCACCACACATATTGCGCAGCATAGATTGCACCACGTAGACTCTCCTTTCTAAAAGAGAGATACACTCAACCACCCCCCCGGAGTTATCGGTACCCCTGGTGCAATTGTAAATTCATATATGATCGGGACCCTTCGTCAATCCTAATTATGAATTCATACCATGCCAGGCAGGCCGGCATCGCCCCCCCCCGCCATCCCCGTCAAGTCATACCATGCGGGGACACTCTTTGTTCTAACATAACACGTTTTGTCACCATCCCTGTCGAATATTACCATGCGGGACACATCCGCGCGGATTGCACCACCCCGCATCATTGTCAAATCATACCATGCGGGGACACGCTTTGTTTCAATTTGACGCTTGCCACACCATCCCTGTCAAACCATACCATGCGGGGCACATCCGCGCGGCCGCGCGCATCGTCGTCATCGTTCGCGCGTTGTCAGAATTTTAATAAAACAACTTGTTTTTCAACATTTTATGTCACAAGGCTCTTGCGAGCAACCTTTCGCGCACCTGTCGCCCGCAAGCCAGGGGCCACCATCCTTGTCAAATAACACCATGCGGGGCACATCCGCGCGGCCGCGCGCACCGTCGTCGTCGTCGTCGTCGTCGTCGTCCTTGTCCTCGTCGTCGTCTTCGTCGTCGTCGTCGTCTTCGTCGTTGTCTTCGTCTTCGTTGCCGTCGTCGTCGTGGTCGTCCCGCTCGTCGGTGCCGTCGTCGTCGACGTCGTCGTCGTCGTCCCGCTCGTCGCTGTTGTCGTCGACGTCGTCGCCGTCGCCGCCGCCGTCGTCGACGTCGTTGTCGTCGCCGTCGGCGTTGGCGTCGTCGGCGAAGTCGTCGCCGTCGTCGTCGTTAGCGATGGGTACTCGCCAGCAGGCTTCGTTGTGTACTCGCAGTCACAGGCCTGTGAGTTGTGCCGACCAAGTTGCGGGTGGGAGGGTGGGATGTTTGTTCGAGCAGTGGAGTTGACAACTTTAAGTTCTGCGTGATTGGTTGCACCACATAGATGGCATCACATCCATATTGCACTGCGTGCATGACATCTTATATTTCGCGCCACATATATTGCGCTGCGTATATTGCACCACATCTATTGCACTGCGTAGATTGCACCACACAGGTTGTGCAACACACACACACACACGTATCGCACCACAAATTGTCTTCATCTGCCGTGCAATAGCTTCCTTGTTTCGTCTCACGCCGGCTAACATGTATAATGCAACGAATACGTAACTATAGGAATACATACCCCGAGGACCACCCAGGTGGCGCGTCCAGCATCCTGCTGCTGGCAGGCGGCGAGGCCACCGAGGACTTCGAGGCGGTGCACTCCAAGAAGGCGTGGGCGATGCTCGAGGACTACTTCATCGGCAAGCTGCGGGCGGGCGGGAGCGCCGGCCCGAAGGAGGAGCCGAAAGCGGAGCTGAAGTTAGACCCCAGCCAGCCCTTCCTGCACCCGCGCAAGGCGCAGAAGCTCCCACTGGTGGAGAAGATCGTAGTCTCTCACGACACACGCATCTTCCGTTTCGGCCTCCCGCACCCGCAGATGAGGCTGGGCCTTCCCACCGGATGTCACATGTTCCTTCGGGCGAAGATCAACGACGAGACGGTTATGCGGCCGTACAGCCCTATGACCGACGACGAGACCCTGGGCCACGTGGACCTGCTCGTCAAGGTCTACTTCAAGGGCGTTCACCCGAAGTTCCCGGACGGGGGCAAGATGTCCCAGCACTTGGAGTCCATGCAGATCGGCGACTCAATCGACGTGAAGGGCCCGCTAGGAGAGTTCATCTACAAGGGGCCCGGCTCTTTCACGTGGATGCACGCGCCGCGCCAGTGCCAGTTCATCAACATGATCGCCGGCGGGACGGGCCTCACGCCCTGCAACCAGGTGGCACAGGCTGTCCTGCGCAACGCCGAGGACCCGACGCAGGTGCGGCTCCTGTACGCGAACCAGTCCCCCGCCGACATCCTGATGCGCAGGGAGCTGGACGACCTCGCCGCGAGGCACCCGGGCCGCTTCCGGGTCTGGTACACGGTGGACCGCGCGCCCGAGGGCGAAGAGTGGAAGTACGACGTCGGCTTCATCAGCGAGGCGATGATCAGGGATCACCTCTTCCCGGCCGGCGAGGGCACCATCACCGTCATGTGCGGCCCGCCGCCGATGGTGAATTTCGCGTGCAAGCCAAACCTCAAGAAGCTGGGCCATGAGGATCCCTCCCTGATGGTGTTCTGATCGGTGTCGCGCCATCCTGAGGGAGGGGCCTGCAGGCATCGGGCGTCCTTGAAGGGGTCGCGCCTCCTGCTTCAGACTCCGTCGCTCCTTCCCTCCTGCTCGTCGTCTCCTCTTCCTGCTCCTCGTCCTCCTTCTGGCATGCCTGCGGTCACTAGCTGGTCGGGCAGGCCATTTCGCGAGCGTTTTCGTCGGGTGTGCCTTTGGCCTCGCGGCAGATAATTTGCTCATGGGTTCGATCAGACTGTTCGTGTGGAGCGCAGCACGCTGAACGAACCGGCAGCCTTCGCAAAGCTTTTACCTGTTCAGGCTTCTGAACAAGTTGAACAAGCAGATGGCACGCGCGACTTTCCCGTGGCTCGGGCAGTGTTGCGGGTTCATCCAGCGGTGTCTGAGGTGGATTACGCATGCTCGAGCTGAATGGCCCTTTCTTGCTTCTTACCTCCTTTGCTCCTTCGCTTGTGTGGCCGCTCCCCGAGTTCTTGGTTGAGTCCGACTCCCACCTTGCTGGCAACCACACTGCCCATATCCAGCTTGCCTGCGGCAAGTCCCGCCACCGTGCCTGTGCAACAGCGCAGCAGGCAGGATGTTCAGTGTAGGAACAGCGGTGTGATCTCTTGCTTGGCCTCTTTGGGGCCTCTGGGAGGCAGTGCCGAGGCCTTTTGAGGCCTCCTGGGGGCATGTTGGGGGCCTCTTTGGTGTCTCTTGGGGGCCTCTTGGGGCTCCTTGGGGGGTGCTTGGGACCTCTTGGGGGCCTCTTTGGGCGGGAGGCCTCTTGGGGGCATCTTGGGGCTCGAATTTTCGCCCTCGGAGGCCACGATCCTCGTGAGGGGTGTCAAACAATGAGGGGGGCGATCTACGAGGGACGCGTGGTTTGCGGAGGGGGTCGGCCCTAGAAAACACAAAAAAACTTCCCAGGGACCAGCAGGGGCATTCTAACACGCCCCAACGTGCCGAAGGCACGGTGGCGGATTTTCTCGTTCCTCTTGCCTCCCTCTGGCCTCCTCGTACAGTTTTCATCGCTGGCCAGGCGTGCCTCCTTTGCACGCTGCGGGGCAGCACTGCTCGAGGACAGCGCAGTCATCATCGCCGAGTGCAAGTTGTGGAAAATCGTTCTGTCGGTTCGGACCGCTGACAAAATGATTAGAGCGGTGCGACAGTCGTTGGCAATCGCAGCCTGGCGAAGTACCCACCCCCACGCAAGTGGTGGCCCTCTCCCTCATATACTGCGCGCCGCGGGAGGGAGGGAGTCGGAGCTCCCTACGGGGCACGATTCGCGTGATGGGTGTGCCGAATTGAGGCTGGAACGACATGAGAGCTCCACCGCTGGTGCCGTAGGTGGAGCTCCCTATGGGGCACGATCCGTGTGAGGCGCGCGTCGAATGAGGCGGGCGCAGTATAGGAACGCGTTCCATGGGGTCGTGGTTGGAGCTCCCTATGGGGCACGATTCGCGTGAGGGGTGTGCCGAACCGAACGAGGTGGCCCATAGGGCCGCGTTCACCAGGGCCGTAGGTGGAGGTGTCTATGGGGCTTGATCCGCGTGAGGGTTGTGCCGAATTGAGGTGGGGGCGATATAGGGCCATGCTCCCTGGGGCCGTAGGTGGGCCCCCTATTGGGGCGCGATCCGAGTGAGTGGTGTGCCGAAACGGACGCGCGGGCAGCACGGGCAGCAATAGCAACAGAGGCCTTTCAGCGCAGCAAGAGCAGCTGCAGCGGCTGGCAACACAGCGGCAGCACCAATGGCAGATCGGCGGCAGCGTGCAGCAGGCAGCGCAGCAGCGGCGACAGGAAGGGGAGGGGGGAGCGGGAGGCGCAGGAGGGAAAGGAAGGAGACGCGTGGCGCGGCGGATTGAAAAGGAAAACCCAACAAGCATAGCCCCGCGCGCATGCGGCCGCACCGCGCTCTGGCTGTGGCGCTCGCGCGCCTCCTCCGGGAGAGCCGTGCGGAGGTCGACATGGGGCGCACGGCGCTGGAGCTGGTCAGCGTCTCCGAGATGGGGGCGGTGGTCGAGGCCGTCATGGACCTCGTGGTCACGTCCCCTGGCGCCGTCCAAACTGTGTAAGTGCGTGGACGTGTCCATCCGCTGCCCGCACGCGTCCCGCTACCCGACCGCGGCCGCGTGCCCCGGGGAGGCCGCGTCGGCGGCGGCCACGGATAAGCGGGCCCGGTACGGCGCCGACGTCCTCGCCGTGGCGCTCGAGACGTACAGCCGGCTCGGCGCCGGCACGCACAGGGCGCTCGAGCACCTGGCCACGCAGGTTGGCGCGTGCCTCTGGAACAAGTGGGCAGCGCCGCGCCTGGTGCCCACCTGAAGGGCAGCCCTGGAGCACATCGTCCTGTTCGCCGCGGCGGACATGGACCTCCTGGCCCTGGGGGCCGCGCCCACCGCCACCGGGGCGCGCGTCGCGTGGGGGCGCGTGAATTGGCGGCAGGGGCGCCGCAGCTGCAGGGTGAGCGCTTGCCTAAAACGTGTGATGTGGAAGGTGCTGTGCGCTTCGGTCCTGCCCTAACAGGAGGGGCGGGGGAGAAACCGGCAGCCCCTCCGCGCCCGGCGGCTGTCCTCCGTAGCCGTCCGGGCTCCCTGCGTTTTCATGCCCCGCGCCTCCCCCCCCCCTGCCCGTCGCGGCCGCCAGTCCTTCGCCGCCCTCGCCCCCGCTCGTGGGGTCGGGTCGCGGTGCCCCGGGCGTGGCCTCCTTGCCTCGCCTTCTGTGTCTCCGCCGCAGTGGCGCCGCCCGCCCTCGCCTCCACCTCCGCGTCGTCTGCGGCCTGGCCCTTCGGGGCGGGCTGGCGCCGGCCGCCGCCCTGGACGTCCTCGGGCTGCCGCCTCCTCGTCCTTCGCGCCCTGCTGCCCCCTCGGCCCCAGAAGCCCCCCCCCCCCGCCTCCCCCGCTTTGGCCCCAGGGGTCCTCCCGCCATGGCCTCCCGCTGCTCTCCCCCGCACTGGCCCCGGGAGTCCTCCCGCTGGCGCCTCGGCCGCCGCGCGTCAGGCTCCTCCCGGCGCCGTCTGGCGAGCTGCCCCCGTGGCGCGGTATGGGCGGCGCCTGTCCCTTGTCCGCTCCGGTGCCGAGGGCGTCTCCTGAGGACTCCTGGCTCCCCGCCGGCTGAGGCGTCCGCGGGCGGCGTGGGTGACGCCTGCCCCCAGGCCGGCGATGCATTGCAGCCGCTGCTTTACGTAGGCGGCCTGGCTTCTCGTCTCGTCCGCCCTCTCTTCACCGCCGCCCCGGCCCCGCGCGCGCGGGTGACAGAGGATCGCTGGCGGCGCCGCGCGCCCGGCCGACGACGGAAAAGTGTGTCGATCGTGCGTGCAGTGGGCACTTCCGTGCTGTTGCCTTCACGCTCCACGACGACGGCTCAGCCTTGCAGCATTGCGTTCCGCATGCCGTGCAGGAGCGTCAGCCTGTGGTCATGACATGCTCGCTGCTAGCAGGTGAGTCTGCGTGCGCGCGCCTTCCTCTTGCTGACTCGCCCCCGTGGGTACCTAATAACGCTCTTGTGGTTTCTTCGTCAGTTCACTGCCGTGGAGGCAGCGTGCGAGTGTCGCGGGGGGCTTGCCGAACGTACGCACTAGGAACTGGACCCGGTCCGTGAGTGCCTGGTGGTGCCGCTCAGAGGCCTCCGCCCTGGAGGGAAACGCAATACATCGGAAGGAAAAGCGGAGCGACGAAATATAGAAAGATGGCGAACGAGTGCTTCGCCGAGCGCTAATGCGCTGAGCAGCTGTCAGTGAGACTTCAGCGACGGAGGATCGTTTTTGTGATCCAGCTGCCTGCTGCAAGTCCCGCCACCGTGCCAGTCCAGCATGCTCGGTGGCGATTGTTCGAGGGGGCACGGGAGGCCTCTTGAATGTTCGTTGGGATATCCTCTCGGGCCTCTCTGGGGCCGTTGGGGCCAGTTTTGAAGCCTCCAGGGGGCTTTTTGGGGGCCTTTGGGGGTCCTTTTAGGGCGTCTGGGAGGCCTCTTGGGGCCTCTGGCAGAAGGATCGACTTGTCGGGTCGTGTTCCCCCTCTTGGGGCTGTCTGGGGGCTGTCTGGGGGCTGTCTTGGGCGCCTCTTAGGCCGTTTTGAGGCCCTCTTGGGCCGTCTTGGGACCCTCTTGGGGACCTTTCGTGGTGTCTTGGGGCGCTCTTGGGGACCCCTGGAGCCGTCTTGGAGCGTCGGAAGAAGCTCGAAAAGGCGACAACGTGAAAAAGCATTGAAAGACATAATGAAGATCAATGGTTTTTGCCTCTTTGGGTCCTCTTGGGGGTCCTCTTGGAGCACTCTTGGGGCATCTTTGGGGCTTTTGAGCCGTCTTGGAGCGCTCTTGGGCCATCTTGGCGGCTTTGGTGGCCTCCCAGGTCCATATTGGAAGCCGGCTTGGACGCCTTGGAGAGCGCCAGGGCCGTGTCTTGGCGCCGACAGAGCCTCGAAAAGAGGGGGCGATGCACCCAGCTGGACGCGAGCCGGAGGGGGGGGCCCTTAGAAGATTACAGAAGCCCTACCAGACAGCACTTGGCCTTCTACCACGCCTCAACCAACGTGCCAGGGGGCACGGTGGCGGATGACGGGAAGCGCCTCTGGCGTGCACCGTTGGTTCTGGGGCTTACTTTTCTCCAACTAAGGAAGGGGTGCGGATCGCACCGGGGACCTCATTGGCGGATGGCGGGAAGCGCCTTCTCGGAACGAGAAGGTGATGGGAGTCTGTTAGGCTATGTTGAATAAGGTATAAATTAAGAACAAACTCGCGAGGGACAACTGGCTGGCGATTGTAATAGTCCCGTTTGACTTTAAACGTTTGTATTCCAGCCCGTAGCGCGGGTTTTCTCCTTCCTCTCTCCCTTCTCCTGGCTGAAGCCGTCTTGGCTTCGAGCTTATACGGAGGGGGTCCCGGGACCCCCTGAACTCGCGCGGGTGGCCGCCACGTTGGCCACCACCCTCTTGTTGTACTGTGCCGCCGGGCTGGGGGGTGGGGGACCTCAGCCTGGGGCCTCCGGAGCCACTCCCGCGGGACGGGCGGCCGGAGCGGCGGCCGGGGCCGTGGTTGGAGCGGTGGGGCTCCTCCATTCGGAGGCACCGGCTCGTCGGGCCTTACTGAGACCGAGGAGCGGCCTCACGCCCAGGGGCAGGGAGTGTGTTTTTTGCCCCCTCTTTTTGCGGCCCTGGATTTTCTTTCTGTTCCGGAGGCGTCCCCTTGGGCCCTCCGGAACCCCCGTGCCTTGGGGGGTGCGCGCGTGGGGGCCTCGCGTCCCCGTGTTCCTCCTCTCTGTCTCTTCCTCCCCCCTCCGACGGCGGCGGGCGGCGACGGAGGAAGATTATGTGGTATGGGAGCCTTCGGACAGGCTCGAGATAAAAGGTGCGTTGGGTGGGACGCCCCGAGTCGTTGTCGACGTCGACGCGCCTCTCGCTTCCCTCCAGTCGCCATCGTCAAGTTTCGTGCCTGGATAGGCAACGGTAATATAAAGGAAGTGGAGCCTCAACTCCACAAACTTGCGGCCAGTTTCAACACTGAGCCGCAGGGGATAACGCTGTTGGGAGTGATCGGTCGGTTCGGTCGAACGGCTGTTCTACCCCTAACACTAGGTTATCAGCCGAAAGCGGCGGGGCGACCCGCCGCCAGAGGTTGGTATCTAGTCAAGAGTACTCGACAAGAAAATGGCAGCAGACATGTCTGATTTGCCCGCTGACCTCAGTGCGGTGATCAGCGAGGTTGAAAATGAAGCTCGCGGAGACCACGCTGCACAACCTCTGACAGGAGGCATTCGACCCACGGCCAGGGAGGCCGCTTTGTTTCCTGCACCCGTTCCATTGATGGACGGACCTCCTCCGGCGGCGGGGCAACCTGCCGCAGGAGGCACCTCTCGACCTCAGCATTATCGGCTGAGCTCGCAAGAACCAAGGGGCTACGCACCGTACCCCAGGGAGAGAGTACAACCACAGGTTTACCCCTTCCACCAAACTGCGCCGCCACCGGTGGCCAGTGACGGAGCAATGAGCCAACTGCGTGCCCAGCTGCGAGATAGGGCTACGCGGACCGACGGAATTCAAGGCGGCCCTTTACCCTTCCACCCGACTCCTACGCAAGATGCGAGGGTGCAGCTTTTGCAGCAGCAGATGGCCGAGGCTGCACATCAGCAGCTACGATTTCAACAAGAAGTTCGCGAGGCATTGAGCGCCTTTAGTGCGCCGCCCGCGGTAGACCCAGCAGCGCGCCAGGTAGTGCAAGCTGCGGTAGATGAACAGAGGGCCGCCCAAG